GAAAAAAAAACACAAAAAAACTCGATTCTTTCAGCTTTATTAACATTTTCCATTGTTTCTTGCGATTTGTGTCTCGTTCTTTGTAGTATTGATGATAACGAACATTTGATAATGAATGTTCTTGTATATTCAGATAAAGGAGAAAAAAAAAAAAAACCAAAAACGCAGTCTGAATTTAATAGTGTTTATAATAAAAAGAAAAATAAAAACGACCCTCTTAGCACGCAAAATTGAACAGGGGGAAGGTCCCGTCCCTGTTCTTTCTGTGGCAACAAGCGCTTCATTCCTGTATAGTTTATAACATCAAACTACCTACATTCATCTTCTCTTTTTTTTTTTGGTTTGGTTGGTTTTCCCATTTATTTTTTTAATTTTCTCGCATTTGTGAATTAGTTCAAGAATGCTAGAAAAGTGTAGAGTTGTGCACACTCATTTCTTCTTACACAATGTTTAAAAAAGAAAAAAAAAGTGGCAGTAATTCATTTTGTAAAACTTTAAAAGAAAAAAATGGTTGGAATAGTGAGCATTAATAGGTACATTCTAACACTTTATGTTTCTTAACGTTGAGACCCAGAAATTTGCTTTTTTCATATTTTTTTATTTTTATTGGCATTATTTGGGGGTGGGGGGCGATGATGATGATGATGATGATGATGATGATGATGGATTTCTTTTCACCTGCCTGAGACACTGGCCTTGCAGCTTCCTCTCTCCCCTCCGCTTTTGAGCCGGGTTCAAAGTGATGTGACAAGTTAGGTTGGTTTTTTTTTGTTTGTTTTGGGTTTTTTGGGGGGTTTTCTTTGCCTCTGGAGTGCCCTTGGGCTCTGCCCCGCATCCCAGCCCCGCGGTGCCTCCGGAAAAGCTGCACAGCAGCCTGCAAGGAGGAGCCCGGAGACAGCAACCGAGTGGGATCCCTTCCTTTTTTCCTTATAATCCCTTCCCTCCTTTCCTCCCCAGCTTGAAAAAAACAGAAAAAAAAGCAGAACTTTTCACATCACTAATCGGTTTAGGGTTTGGGGTATTACTTTCGAAATCCCAAGGCTACCTGGAGTCCTTTTGTTTTCATACACCTCTATTATTATTATTATAATTATTATTATTATTGAGACAGTGTAAAACAGACGTTGCCTGGGGGGGGTTGGTTTTGTTGGTTTGCTTTTTTGTTCTCCTTGCAAAGCCCTTTTTGTCCCTTGTAAAGCTGACCCAATTCTCCGGAGTTGCTCTTTTTCTCTTTCCCCCCTTTCCCCCTTCTCCTCCTGCATTTTTTTTTAATTTTTTTCTCTTTCTAACGGATTCCAAATATTAAAAAAAAAAGAAAAAAAAAATCCTTTAAAGAAAAAGACTCTCTGGTCTGACCTGTTTTTGAAACTTAAAGCTTTTCTGCTTCTGTAAAGGGAAAAAAAAGAGAGAAAAAAGGCCTCTGTCTTTCTGATCCCAATTGACTTTTCTGTTCTATGGCGATACTAACAAGGTGTAGGTTTTACAGTTTCCTGATTTGTACTGGTAATGCATATTCCAAATAAATAGTTTCTTTTGTTGCAAAAAAAAAAAAAAAAAAAAAAAACTAAACCAAACCTGGTGTATTTTTTTTTTTTTGCAAGGGGAAAAAAACCAAGAGCGAACGTGGGCCCTTGGGGTAGTTTTACACACCCCGTGGCACCCTGGAGGTGGCAGGAGAGCAGCTCCGCGTCGGTGCAGGGTAAGGGTTGGGATGCGTTGGGTTGCGTTGGGTTGTGTTGGGTTGTGTTGGGTAGGGGGATGTCAGGACACCCTGTGCTCAGCTCTGCCAGGAGCAGCGCATCCGAGGACTATGCTTAAAATTTGCAATTAACTGCTTTTTTTGCCTTTTTCTTTGCAGTTTTTGCAATTATCTCCCGTTTTTTCTCCCCAGTGATGGAGTGGGGCAGCGCTTCTAGAAATGATCTACAATTTTTTTTAGCTAACCAGCTCCCCATCCTTGAGTTGCAAGGCAAACTAAACAGCTTATACTCATGTTAAAMACACACACACACCCCTCCTCATCCCAAACTTTCCCACATCTGTTAAAATTTTCCACCGGGAAGGGCAGGGGCGGACGGGCGGGYGGGAGGGAGGCTGCAGGCGGTACCACTAAATTGCAAAGCCAATTTAGCTGGGATGACATGTTTTCTAACCGGCAAGAAATATCACCCCATTAGACTAAGCCACTTCTGCTAGTCTAACAAGGACCCTGACAGCCAAATCCCACTGTTTTATTTGATAATTGTTTGCATTTTCACCATAGGGGCTTTTATCTCCTCCCCACTTCGTTTCCGCACCTTTTTCCTTCTCGCGTTGCTTCCCTCCRCTTCTCTGTATATATCTGCCCCATATAAAAGTGGGAAAACAAATCCCTCTCCATTTCCCTATTTTTGGGCAACTAGATGTTGCCCTGGGTTTGTTTTTTGAGGGAAAACCAAGGGATAAAGTGAGGCACAGAGCAGTTTATGGCCAGAGCTGGCGGCGAGGGCCCATCACCAGTGTGCAGGGGCTGGCAAGC